CATTTGTAATGGTTGAATGTATGATGCCAGAAAACCTGCAATCAGAATGCGACAATCTAAATATGTTCACAGACAAAAAGGAATGGAATTCCTGAGGGTGTACCAGCACAAAAGTTTGCGTTGCACTCCTGCTCTTCCTCTGATTCACTATCAATGATAGGCGGTCCATTTCCGACAAGAATGGTCAATGGCCTTCCAGGCAACACGTTGAACTCACAGCTGAACCGTTTGAACTCACTGTGTCGCTTGAAAGCTCGAAGCCAAGGAAGCAAAGGAAGCGAAGGAAGCCTTGATGCTCCAAGATCTCCATCTTCGCTAATCTGCACAGATCAAAAAATCACTCCACAAGCAGCTCTTTCCAGGTCTTTCCAGGTCTTTCCAGGTCTTTCCAGGTTCCAGGTCTTTCCAGGGCTTCAGTTTTTGCCTTCCCTTCTATGCATATGCAAATATCCAACCTTGACATGTGGCAATGTCAAGTCAGCATGAGCCACGTATGGCATCACTGGACATTGACGCTGTGATGTTCAGCTTTTGTTAAATGTTGCATGAATTGGGCCCCTTGGCATTTGCAACAAACCGTTCTACTTGACATCCTTTTCAAGATGAATGCAAAGAAACCTTGCTCTTGTGATATTGTTTTGAATAATGTTCATGACAATACATTTTTGTTGCATAAATTTGATTGCCGTTCACAATTACCTCCTCGATGAAATATGCTCCGCATGAATCTGGTTATGCAACTGCACTTGAGCACACTTGAGCAATAGAAGGTTTGCCTGCAGCACCTCCTTTTTTGTCTGCTCTCAATCGAATAAAACATGAAGGTGAACTTCAGGCGGACAAGACTTTCAACGCAAGACACAAAGAGCATCACAGAGCACAATAAACAAAAAGGGCATTGAAATCTTCCTGTGTTGAAATCTATGGCTGAGGCGAAGTGCGAGCTTGCGGTAAGCAGTGCGAACCTTGGCGAACGGTCAAGGAAGCATCGCTTTGTATTCCGAGAGAGCCCCAAGTTGCCAGTATGACAAATGCTGCACCTGCTTTACGTCCAACGAACTCCCTGGCTCCAGCTGCAAAACCTGCAAATGGTCACAGGTCGATCCTTCAGTTTGGAAGCCATGAAACTTCTGAAATCTGATGGACTACGTAACTACAATTCGTACAATTCGTACAATGAACTGATGTGACAGAGACTCAGTGGCTCAACACCAGGAGTTTATTTGGGATCTTCTCAGCACCTCAAAGGAAGACCGTGCAGACAGAATGCGAGCTGCCTGAAAAGTCAGCTCAGCGTCGGTGCTACGAAAGGCAGCACCAGATTCCTTCTTTTTGGTGTCCCTAAAGATTGACATTGGAAATTCATGGAAATTCATGGAAATTCCCTATTTGTGGTTCATTGCCTTCAACATCAGTTCCGACGCCATGCTGAGCACTGAGAAACTTTGCCCAAGCCTCATCTAAGCCCTCCATCGAGCTGTAAACAAGCCTATTCCGGAAGCAGGGAAACTTGTAAATTGTAAGCAATCAAACTTGTGATATAGATGATCCATATACTCAATGCATCATCAAGTTCATTGCTCTTGTTGATTGGCATTGATAGACTCTGTACAGAGGATTGGCTGTGGCTCTCCTCTTCTCTCAGTATCTGACCCATCCGAAACAATGCCATTGGCCTCTCTCACACGCCTTGAAAGTGCATCAAGGTGCATGAAATGTTATGAGCGTCAGCATTTAAGTGCAACTGCATCATGCAACAGTCTGGTAGAGTTGAACGCACCATTTTTTTTACCTTGTGTCACTTGAGTCACACGATTGCACAACTGAAGATACCTAGCCAGTCTGATTCCTCTAACCTGAGGAATTGCCAGTCTGTTTGCATTCACGTCTTGTTTTCTAACGGCCTGTTCGCATCTCTTGATCGTTTTCAAAAGCACTGGACTCCCACTGGACGCACTCGACCTCGAGAACGGCCAGAAAATGAGGTCCACACTCCAGTTCACTTGGATCTTCGAGAGAGCCAGTACAAGCCTCGGATAAAAAACTTTGATACATGGAAAAGTCATTCAATGTCATGAAAAAACATAAGTTCTAGGGAAAATCATAGAAAATCCAAAATATCATGAAAACATAGGTTTGGCCGACCCTTGAGTCTCACCTGCTTTGAGAATTGCCAGAATCTTTCAGCATTTTCAGCCCGATGTCAGGTGCAAAGCTTTGCAAATACATTGGTATTTGTGTATGTATTCCTGGGTGATGGTTGGGTGTCTCTGCGCTTATTCCTAAAGTTGCACTATAAAATGCCAAACATTTCAGGACGAGTGCGATTCAACTTTGCAGTTCGTCCCTGAGGCATTTGCCAATATCTCTCTTGGCGCACCCTGAAAGCTGGCCAATTTACTTCTGCATTGACACAAAGTAAAATCTGCAGATGGCAGACTGCATCTCCTGGTCATAATAGCCTTGTTCATCTCTGATCAAACGCCAACAATACCAGTATCAAACTACACTTCATCAAAGAGGAAAACTATCCTTCAGAATTTGGCACCTTGCATCGTACTGACGTACTGCATCACTTTTGCCCTTGTCATGTTTCACAGACGTGACCCAGTGACAATTTCCGGTCCTTCTCGGGCAGCAGCACGGCGCGCACGTGGCCGACCTGAGAGTTTTACGGCACCGTCAATACTAGTTTCGCTTGTTTCAATATGCGTCACATGTCATGTCTGACTGCATCTATCTGCATCTCAGGTTGTGACACCTGCCAGTACCACTCTCTCCCCCAAAACAAGGACAAGAATGGCTGAGCAGCCACTAAATGCATGAGCACCTCGAGCACAAGGGAAGTTATTGTTTCCTGCTGGAATGCCTGCAATGTTTCATTTCAGAGGCCCTGAAAGACCATGTTTCTACATGGTGTTAAGACATGTTAAGCTATGTTAAGACATATTAAAAGAAGCGGGATTCCCAGACCTCTCCACACACCACGGACTAAGGACTCTTACTCTTCAGGATTTCAGCATCCAGAGCCTAGAAGGCGAGGAGCTGGGGCTGTCAGTCCAGTATTCGAAGTATGCCGTTATGATAAAACAACACCAAAACATTATGAATAGAGGCTCCCCCCCCGTGAAAGAAAATACAAAGCCCGGGGAGTTGAGACATGTTGAGACTTGAGGCGGATTGTACACAAACTACGATTCATGCACTTTCTGTCCAAGAATATCAGCCCTACATAGCCCTACTGCATGCTACTAAAAAGCCAAACCAGCTGTGTTGCTGACACGATGGTTTAAACTGAGAGCTGATACAATGATATGGGAGGGGGGGAGCAGGGGGGGGGCGGAGAGCGTGGAACGGCAGAGAGTGGGGAGGGAGTGGGGAAGGCTTCCCGGTACCTTCCCGGTGCCAACTGGTGCCTCTAGGGTCCTCTCGAGAAGTCTTTTCAGCTGGATTGTCTCGTAAGTGTGGATCCTAGAGTCACGAAGTGTCACGAAGCTCTGAAGTCTGGATCTGTACAGGACCTGGTAAATGGATGTTCATCCCACTAAAAATGTATCTATAGGTATTGACCCATACCCATATTGGCTTCAAAAACTGTCATCACAGGAAGTTCAAATAGATTTCACGCGGTGCCACGTTGTGAAAACACGCATCGCATCGCATCGCACTCTTGGCAGCACACTGCTCCGCTAAGAAGGGTAGCAACTTCTTGTGAAAGTTTTCAGCACACCACCTAAAAAGTAAGACCACTCGCATCTACATCATCTACTCACTCAAACTTGCTCAAGACTTGCAAGAATGGTACTATATCGCACTCACCATCTCACTGAATCACACTGTACCATGCCGGGGATGCTGGGCAGATTCTGCACTTCGCAAGCCTTGGAAGATTGCATAGGCCTCAGCGGAAATGCGTCGTTTCAGCCTGTTTCAGCCTGTTTCAGCCTGTTTCAGCCTGTTTCAGCCTGTTTCAGCCTGTTTCAGCCTGTTTCAGCCTGTTTCAGCCTGTTTCAGCCTGTTTCAGCCTGTTTCAGCCGTCAGCTATCTGTCGGTGTAGGTTGTCAAGATTTGTTAAGTCTTTCTTTCCTTAACTCTAATTCGATCTGTTCCCTCTGATTTCCGGTCGTGCTTTCACTAGAACAATTTGTTGACATTCCCACACAACTCAAATAGCTACCAATGGGTCACCCCCTGGATTCGTTCTCAGATCCCAATACCTGCTACAGGGCTGTTGTCGTTGCTGTGGGTGTTTTGCACACGTTTATTCTCCATGTTGGCCCACACCAAAGCGAGGCAAACGGGCCTTGTTACACAGGCATGCCAGCCAGGGGTGCAGCTTACCTACCTATCCTTTGGTACAAATCGTGTTGGCTCGGGTTGGGACACAGCATAGAGGGTTCGTGTTTTATCACTTTTTAGCATGTATGCAGAACAAAGCCCAAGTTGCCAATGGGCACAGCATTCCCTGATTTTTGAAGCAAACGTGCCTTGCTATTTTTGGCAGTGTCTGAAACGACGAAGAAAAGACTTCAAACACTGTGTCTTGCGCGCTCTTCCATGCACAAAAAAGTGTGACAAATACCTTTTTTTTATCACTGTGGCTGTGCCAACATCTGGTGAATGGAGCATGTTTACATGTTTTTTGCATTTCTTGACCAGCTTCTTTTTGTGCTCCTCTTGTTCCAAAATAGTTTGCATTCGTTCTGAACTACTTCCCTGACTATTTCTTGTATGGGTCTGTCTGAAAATGGAGTATACCACAACCCCCAAATGACCACGTTCGGGAAGTGATCATCAACCAGTGGACAGCTTGATGAATAGAACGACAGCTAAAAACAGCTGCCGTTGGAGAGCTGAGGCCTCTGGTAGGGACGCTAGTTCTATGTCTTCAGTCCACAAACTGAGAGCTGCGCACAGGCTGGCAAGTCAACAAAGCTCAGCGGGAACTTCAGGGCCAACCCTCATACCAAGTCCAATGCAGGTAGAGTTTGCATATTTTGCATATTGCTATTGGTTCAATCCGTTCAATCAGTTCAATCACGGTAGGCAGGTGTAGCTCAGGGCAACTGAGGCTGACTGAGGCTGTGGCTGGCAATTTTGGTAATGTCATTGAGAAGCACTGCCCGATCCATTTTGGCACCCTTTCCTGCACCCAAGTTCCAGTCATCCAAGGAATCCATGGAATCCATGGAGGATGGGCTTCTGAGGCTGCCACGGATCCATGACGCAGTGGCACCACGAATAGAGGCCTTGAATTCTTGTGGCACCTGAGCTTCAGTGGATTGCAAGTGCCTCACAGTGCCTCAAATTTCAGTCAATTGAATATAAATGTTCTTTGTTCACCAAATGTGCATTGAATAAAATGACAAGTTCTTCTTTGAGACCAACTTTTCACGGAATGGCTAAAGGCGTTGTGAGCTTGGGAGTCATATCTTCAGATGTTAGACAAGCTCGTGGTTTCAGTATTCACTTCCATGATGCCTTCATCCTTCCAAAAAGAAAATAAACTGTCAATCCACCCGAATCCAAGATGAACTTATCACAACTTGTTCCAACAATGTTCAACATTCTGGACTGCTCTCCGGTGCGGCACTGAGGCTCCATCATGAGGCTCACTCACATCCGTCAGCTTCTTTGTGCCCGGATCTTGTTTCATGTAGCTTCCAGCCTCGAGAATCTACAAAAAGATTGCGAAGACACAGCACAGACAAAGAGCAAACAAGAAAACGGAAGTACCGAAAAGTGACTCCTGAAAGTACTATAAACATCAATAAACTGTCATAAAACAGTTTTAGAAACTATCTGTAAACTTTCAAGGCGCCGACTCGTGCACCTTCCTGCAGAAAGAGCACCTCAAACTCTTCGTTTTCTACAAGTTTCAACAAGCCCAAGACTGGCAATGGCTTTTGGCACATTTTAGACTATACCAAACACTGATGTTGCTGGTTAAGTGATGCAAACAAAATCAATCAACCGTATTATATTGAGGCAACAAAAAAGAAAACCAACTGCTGGTACAGCGACGCCGAGAGGACTAGCACAAGAAAAAAACTGTATGTATATCGAGGAATACCATTGAATTGCATTGCATTGTATAATGTTATAGATATACATATATATATATATATATATATGATTTTATATGTATGTATGTGTATATATATAATATGTATGTGTATATAGATATGTGTATGTATATATATATATATGATATGTGTTTTTTTATTTTATTCATAGATATATATATAGACACATCTATGTGTATAGACACATAAAGATAGACAAGATAGACAGGATAGATAGGAGAGACAAGATTGATAAGATAGACAAGGTAGATTGGATAATATAAGGTAGCTAGAATAAGGTAGACAAGAAACATAAGATATGGTAGGGCAAGACAAGTAGACAAATCGACAAATAGACGTAAAGACAGACAGACAGACAGGCAGGCAGACAGGCAGGCAGGCAGGCAGATAGATAGACGGACAGACAGATAGACGGACACACAGACAGAGATAGATGAATAAAAAGCTAGATAGCTAGGGAGTTAGGTAGCCACTTAGCCACATAGCTATATAGCTACATAGCTACATAGCTAGATAGCTATATACATAGCTACATAGCTAGATAGCCATTATATATATATAGCTATATAGCTACATATCTAGGAAGCTAGATAGCTACATAACTAGATAGCTAGATAGCTAAATAGGTGGATTGATTAATAGATGCGGAAAAAAAAGAAAAAACGTGTACAAAACTCAGACAAGCGGGATACAAAAAAAACAACCAAGTACTGAGGTATCACTGCCACAGGGAACGACCGATGACAAAAAAACTGGATGGAATGAAAAAGACAAATCTATGAGCTCCTCTTTGAAAATACACTACGAGAAAAGGATCAATCCAATCACAGTCAAAGAACAAGACCTGATAGACAGGTGCGCTGGAGCAAGCAAAACAGGATATGACACTATCACGAATTCCGAATTAGTGGTCGGCACAAATAAATATACCTGTACATATATGTATATACATATCATATCATATATATATCATATATATATATATACATATCATATGTATACATAGCCTCGTCCCTGCTCCTGAACCACATACGATGGGGTGGGGGGTGGGGTGGGATGTTAACGTTCATGTGAATTAACGTGGGATGTTAACGTTCATGTGAATTAACGTTCATGTGAACTTGCAGAAGCAGTTGATGCTACGCACACGCGGGGTGGGGGGGGATGGGGTGGGATGTTAACGTTCATGTGAACTTGCAGAAGCAGTTGATGCTACGCTCACGAGGACTGGGACAATATATATATATATATTTTTTGAATATATTTACAGAATTCTTCAGATATCTATATATATATTCATCATTTTTTCAATATATTTTTATATAGTTGAACTTACATATGTGCATGATGATGATGATGATGATGATGATGATGATGATGACCCTAATGAAACTTGTCAATTCCGCGACTAAATTTCGTCACGGAATTGACAAGTTTTACCAACCTAATTCAGGTTTGCGCGGTTCCAAGAGCAGGGACGAGGCTATATACACATATTCTAGATATATATATATTATAGATATATATATATATATATTATAGATATATATTATATAGATATATATATATATATATTATAGATATATATTATATAGATATACATAAGCATCGCAAGGAAAACCATAGCTCCCAGTACCTGGATACAAAAGGACAATCGTCTCGAAGGGAATCTCAAAACACCACACCCTTGCAACTGCCCGTGCCTGACTCTGGGGGTTCACCAGAGTTACATCATCATGCCGTACCCATCCCTCTCCTGACCGCTTTGCCATGAGAGCAAATCTTCAGACTTTTTTCACAAAGAAGTAAAATGACTACGGATTCTTCAAGACTTTGACACCGCATGTCTGATCTGTAGGTTTCAGATTTGGTACTTGCGTAAACAATAAAAAAAATGTTACAATCATACCACATTGGCCCTGCTCTGCTTTCCTTTTGGTGTTCCATTCTGGTCCTCTTGGAATAAGCCGTTTCTTGGCGTCGCTGGTTGACCTTGAAGAATGGCCAAGAAAGAGAAAGTTCGCAATAAGAAACACCAGAAGCATACTGAATTGTCGTCCAAACCAAATCAATCAGGCAAGTAGCCCCCGGTTGCTGATGACGAATCCCTGGAACCGGCGAAGGCCAATGACACAAGTGTGTACACAACAAACAGCTGAGCAGCCACGAATCTTGAAAAGGAAAGGATTGTGATTTCGGCGATTTCGGGGAGTTTTCAAATATTCTATTGTCTTGTTGTTTTCATCATGTATTTTTGCCTGGAAGTGCTTTCCTCGCCAGTTGCAAAGTTTTGGACCTGGAACCTCATGGAAACTCTCACTTTCATGGTGTTTGCGATATTTTTGAGCTTTACGCTCACTCCTCTGCTGCGTTGGACTAATGTCTTGCTTGTGCGATACATTCAAACTACAGTAACACCAAAGAAACTATTTGCGATCTTTGGGACAAAAGCCTGTCTCCTTTCTATGGTCAAAGATCCTTTTTTGCATTGTCTTCAGATCTGATAGTTTCTCGTGTGCATCGTATTTACTTGTGAACTCAAGTCTTGCGTTGCACTGTGTATTCAATCCCTTTTTTAGCGCTGGAACCACGACCCCTGCCCCGCAAGTGAATGTAGACCCAAATGAATGAATGTGTGAGTGAGGGAATGAATCAATGATGCATGAATGAATGAATGTATGTCGAGATTTTTTGTCACCAAACTATGTACGACGACCTTTTGTTTGCATGATATTTGCGGCATTAAGGTATTGCGGCATTGTGGATGTAATATGCCAAATATATCCAAATATATATATATATAATCACATTAGCTACTAAAGGCCAAGAAGCCACGTAAGCCACTAAAAGGCTACAAAAGCCAGGAAGCCCAAAAAGCCAAAAAGCCACTGAAGTCAAGAAGACCCTGAAGTATCCAAGAAGCCACTGAAAGCCCCAGACACGGAAAACTCTAATAAACAACTCAAAAACAAAGAAATATGAAATTAATATGAAAAATGTGCTCATTTCAACAAAATATCTTAAAGCACTTGTGCCAAGAGCCTGTTGGCTAAGGATGACGCAAAGATTGAATTCCTTGTAGTCTGCAGCCCTTTGAGATCTTGCTTTGAAACCACCTTCACCCCTGATCATCATCTCTATTTTGGCCGCATGGACTAAAAGACTACAGCACGAGGAGAACATGCTGACACCAATTCAATTTCAATTGCTATTGAGTTTTTTGCACGCGGAAAAAATGTTTACAATGGTATTTCAAGGTCACTAGATCTGAATGTGTCTCGTCCTCCAGAAGACTCTCGTCGGCATTTTCAATCTCCTGGCTACGCAGTAAAGCCCGGAGCAAGAAAATTTGCATACGTGGCAGCATCTTTTGAAACAAGGAAGTATGACAGAACTTCTTGCAGTCCTTAAGAGACCACTTGCGGGCACTCAAAGCAGCCTCAGAAACATATCAATACCTAATGATGTAAAGTGCAGGCAAAGCAACTTCTTCTATGCATTGCAGGGGATATCTCAAAAGCCAATTGAGTTTGATGCAGCCACTCGTCGCGTTCCTGCTGCACCATCAGAAACAAATGCTTTTCCCATCTCTGCCTTGGCGTGGAAGACTTATAACTGAAACATCATGATGTGCTGATGATTTCAGCAATTTCTATACATCTGGACTTCCCTGTAAGAATAGACGGTTCTCAGTCCAACGCTCCATCATTGATGGCTTCTGGTCTGCTTTCTCTTGCAGGTCCAAACCTCGTGCCATCAAGAGGATCCCACTTTTGATATGTTCGCTGTTGTAAGAATCTTGAAGCAAACTGGAAAGGCATAAAAGTCGTGATTCAACGTTTCTTTCCTAGATGCCCTTTTGCGTCTGTTGAATTGAAGCTCATCAGATTCAAATGAGTCCGTTCAACAAGTCCAAACAGTCAATTCAACAAAATTCAACAATGTGTTCGGCGATTAAGGAACCATGGGACCATGAGATGGTAAGTTTGCTACACCGCGAAACTCTTCGCTACCTCAAGGTGCAGCTTCGCTCTGAACCTAGGCAACTTATGGCAACTTCGAGCTGCAGAGCAATTCCGCTTGCAAAATTGCACATGAGTGCAGTGTCATTCTCAAAGGAAAACAAAGGCAGAAACAGAAACGAGGGAATTAGAGCAAGAACCCAATGAAATTGCACTGAAGAGAAAACCACGGCGAGTTGGTGAACAAAATCGATGTAATTGTGCTCAAGAGTTTGACCCAGACCTTGAATCCACACGCTCGATGTCGATCTTGACATAGTTTGATCTTGAGTCGACCTCTTTGCATAGAATGCGCAAATACAATTGGTCAAAAGATTCACCACAAGAATAAACATTTTTTTGTCGGTCAAATAGAGTCACCTCGTCATCTTTTTGGGAAGTTTCTTGACCTTGCAGAGTTGAATGAATTCGTGCGCATTTACTGAAAATCCACGTCACATCAAGAACATGACTATATAATTTGGTAAATGTTACATATCCTATCCTATATAATCAGATTGCTGAGTTTCAATCGGTACTTCTGAAACGCCAATGTAGCGGAAGCATTCCGGCTGACCTTTGCTTGCCCAACCTAGGCAAATTCCGTGGTGGCATTGCACTGGCAGCACATTGTGCCGTTTTGCCGTTTCAGTTGAAAGTTTGCTGAGGACAAAACCAGCAAAGCCATAAAGACCTCCAAAATGTCTGGCAGTTTTCAATATTGTTTCAACAGTTGGCAACGTATTTGCTCTGCTACTGCAATCACCTGCCTTTTTTATTCCGGAATCCTGTGGTCTCATAGACAAATTAACGTAACTCAACGATCGACCACAATCGATTCGATTGTGAGTGTTGCCTTGGTTATATGTTTCTGCTAGTTTACCTTGCAGGGTGACCAAAATTCACCAGCAGGATTGGATTTTCTGAAAATCATTAGCACACGTGACAGCATATGTGTTTTGTTAGGTACGAAAATGTTTTGATTTGTTAACCGAAATATTGTGCCCAAAACTAAACACCACTTGATAATTTTGTTTTACTTACGATGCCAACGCGATATTTCCATTGTGTGAACTGTGTTTGTCACATATTGGCAATCAAGCGTGTCAGATTCAAGAATCCCTCCGAGATTCACAACACCACAGGTGCAAATCCGTTGCCTCGCTCAAGGTTCTGGCAAGTCGATCTACTTGTCATTTTGTATTACAACCTGGACAAGAAGGTTTGGTGGCTCTTTGTTTGTACACTCTGGCAGGTTTGCCGTACAATGCAAGAAATAAAGAAGCAGTGGCACGAGCCGTAGAAGGACAATTTGCTTGGGATGTCGCATCTGTTGGTTCGCGCCTTGCAATGATCTGGAAGGATCAGTTTGCATGGTTGCAACTCGCACATTGCGAATGACGAAACCATAGACAGCGCCAAAAACAATTGGGCAAATTTGCGCATTGAATATCTGTGAAAACAAGACACACACACACACAAAAATACAAACGAATTCAACTGCATTCTAAATTGTGATTTGTGAGAGTAAATGTGGATTGAAAAATTCAGCCTGTTGCCTGTTGTGCCTATGGTGTCGGGATCTTCAAGTAATTCCCCATTTTGGGGGTGTTCGGCTGTGACCACGAAATTTAAATTGGCATTGCATGGTCATTTGATTGGAAATTGCCTAACGCTGTCAACCCAAAGTGACTTGATTTTCATTGTTTGCAAAAACGTGGAATGCGCAATACAGATAAAGCAACAACATGTAAAGCAACCACAGCCACTGCCTTCCTTGAACCAAGACTTGCAATTTGCAACCCTTCAAAACCATTTTGTCTCCCCAGAACACGCCACTGATGTTCCCATTTGTTCCGCAAATGTTTTTTTAACAAAATATAGCGGAGTGGAATTGCTACCACGACTTCCCTCTGGCCCGAAACAAAACGGTTTTCGAAACTGAAGAAAATTACGCCGGCAAAGCCCCCAGATAATCTTCCCTCCCTATTACTAAAACACCCCACCAAATGGTAAACACGGGGATTTAATTATACTATTAGGGTGTATTGTGCATTAGGGTGCCCCTAATAATCTAATGAAAACCCTAATAATAAAAAAACGATTTAAAATTTGATGAAATCCCTTATTAAAATCAATAATCTATACAAAATATTGCCAAAAACTCGATTTCGAAGTTTTCCCCTAAGATTCCAATGAAAACCCTAATTATAAAAAATACGATTTAAAATCCCAAGGCCTAAGGGGTCTTAGCCTTGTAACAGCAAGGGCCTGATCTTCTCTTTTTCCATTGCCTCCGTGCCGGGGGGGTGTGAGGGGCGGCTTCCGTGGCTTCCCCCACCATCCCTCATCCATGGCCCCCTCGCCGGGCACACCGCTGGGTGGGAGGGGAACGAGCTCGCCAACGGAGCCACTCGCCCCGAGGGGGCCGGGGCAAGAGCAGCTATGGATGTGGATGGCGGACCTGCCGCTGCTCGCCTCTACCGGTGCCTGGCTGCCTTCATGGTGACGCCACCAAGGCCCGTGGCTGGGCGTCCATTGCCTCCATCCAGGCCCACATAGACGCCCACCTGGCGGGGGCTGCAGGCGATCTGTGGATCATCCAGGTCCCCGATGGCTTCGAGCAGTTTGCTCGCCTTGGCTATTCGGGCATTAGTGTGGGCTGCCACAAGTGTCCTCTCCAATGGCTCCTAGTAGCTCAAAGCTCCGGCAGACGCGGCTTTTCCCCTGGGCGGTGCGGAGCATGGCATTAGGAAAGTGGGTGGTGAGTTGAGCGTCAGACACGTTCCCGACAGCAATGACTTCGCACTTTTGCAGGTTCAGTCGCAAGCGGAGGGCCAAGCTGCGTTGCTGAGCATGCGCCAAAGCAGCTGGCACTGCCGGGATGTCGCCAGCGATGATGCCATCGTCCAAGTAGAAGGTTGCCAAGTCTAAGGGCCCTGGTCGGAGCTTCTCTGCCAACGGCTGCAAAGCAGCGGCAAACAGTAGTGGGCCGAGAGGGTCTCCTTGTTGCACTTTTCAGGGTGGTGTTCCCGAACTGAAGGTTGGAAGTTTTGCCATACAGTTCGGTCAGGTCAAGGGCATTTCCAATAAGTTGGAAATAATTAAACCTTTGCCTTTTAGGCAAAAGGCCTTCCACTCTTCCATCGGTCCGTCTCTCACATGGGTGGCATAAGGCTGCAGCTCTCGCAGCAATTTGGTGCGATCACCAAGAAGACCTGTTTGATCGAAAGCTTGGTTCCAATCTCGAATTAAGAAGTTGCTGCACAACTGCACCAAGACTTGGAGCCACTGCGACATTCCCACGCTTCCAGAACAATCTTTGGCTGCCGGGTACCTTTGCTTCAAATAAGGTTTGTAAGCTGAGAAGCAGTGCGTGTCACAAGGCTGCAGCAAATGTGTGCACAATGTAGGCACTACTTGCAACCATTGTGACCAGAAGCAGCTGCTATGACCTCTGCAGTCAAATGAATTTTGGCAGCATCCAGTACCAAGATTGGCTGGAAAGTATCTCGGTACGGCTCGACAACCCTTGCCAATCTCCGCAGAATCTGGACCATCAGAAAACCAGTGTTCCAAGCACTTTTGCGCCGGAGAAATATAACCTGTCCAGGCAAAATATCCAGAGCATGTAAGGCGGTCTGCGTTAAGCATCTCTTGCTTGCAAGGAAATATTGCGGCAGGTGTTGCTGAAGGTTTGCATTGTGGGTTATCATGCACACGTGGGTCATCATAGCTCTTCGGGTTGCCCTGTTGATGCCATTGATTCCATTGATGCTTACCCAAAACAAGTCTTCGCAAGGAAGGCATGGCCATGCCAACTGCTGTTTCATCCAAGTTGATGTAAAGGGGGCGCTTGCTCATGACGCCAACGCAAAAAAGCTCGCCAATAGAAATCATCCTGCCTCTTTTCTTGCCAGATTTGCGGGCCCATTTCTGGGTCCCTGGAATGACCCCAAAAATGGAACCTCTACCAAAAAAGTATTTGGGAAATAAGGGAGCTAAGAAAAGGCCCCAAAACGGGAACCAGGGTGAACACCGAAAAATAAACATTTCGCCCCGCCTTTCTTTACATATCTTCCTCTGGCTGGATATCGCGACAAGGTAGTTGGGCTCGGGATATATGCCACCGCTTGCGCCAACAGTGGACCCACCGCCTAGCTAACAACTGTTTCAGTGGGGGCTGATGCAGCCCCAAGCTTCTGAGTTCAGCTGCATATGTTTCCACCAGAGCAGATGGAGAAGGCGCAACCCGTCGACTGAAATTCTCTTGCGCAACCCACTGCACACATCGCGCAGCGGCAACCAATCTTGCACCTTGATTGCATACACGCTGCTGCCAGGGCGAGTCTGGAAGAATGAATGCTCGGAGTTGCCTCTCTGACAAAGATACGAACCACCTATCTAGCTGGGAACCAATGTGGGCATCACTCTCCAGATTCAATTTGAATGGAGCGTTTCTGCAGCAAAGCTTTGACTATGTCCACAGCCAGGCTCCGGTCATATCGCGAAGCAATATAAGCTGCTAGAACCACTTGAACGCAACGGGGAGACAAACCCAAAGAATCAGCAGCTCTCTTGCGCTCCCTCAGCGCGGCGCGGATAGCTTGCATTCGACGGTTGAATTTCCTGCCAGCCAGGGGCTTGACGCTGAACATAAAAGAAAAAAGACTGGTAGCAATGCTTCTCAAAGCATGCAACAGCCATAAAATTCATGCTTCTCTGAAAGGAACAATGTTGCTAAGAAAGTTCGGACAAAAGACATCCCCTTAATAATGCTAAGTGTATTTAGTTGGCTCACCCGTTCAGCGTAATTTCTCAAGTTTGCGCTGTTATGGATGGAATTGGTATTAAGTTACACGCTAAGACGCCAAGTGAAGAAGTCATCCTTCCAAGTTACGAGGAACGCCAGGAAAAACAAAACAAACATAAAACCAAAAAGAAAACAACATGTGAACATGTGGAAGTTGAAATCACTGATGCAATCCGACGCAAACACTCGCACATTCTTTTTAAACACAGCGTGGGGAGAATCTCAATTGTTCCAAGCTGGATTGCGCATCCATAGTGACGATCAACGCTACACCATCCTCGCTCAAATTTCCGTTGCAGACATCATACGACCTTCATCGGTCTGTTTGCCAGCGTGGCACATTGCAAAAGAAAATATCCAGCTGTTTCACATGCAAGCATCCATCCGGTCAATTGCAAGAGAAAATATCCAGCTGTTTCCACATGCAAGGATCCATCCTCCATGGGTTGCTCATGTTAATACCAAGCCAATACCTCTCCAGAAGCATCGCGCACTTCAGGCTCGGGATCCACAGGCATCGTGGAAGCAGCCGATGGTGCCGCTGTTGAATGGGCAGCCGCTGTCACAGGAGCGGCTGCCGGTTGCGGCAACGGGGGCTGGGGGCGCTGCTTCGTGCGTAACATCGATTCAATGGTTCTGAAAAGCAAAATTGAATCCTGTAGCATATTGTTGAACTCCGCATGGAGGACAATGTCGTACACCTGCACGAACCATTGATGAAATCGCTCAAGAGGATCAATGGCTGCGGGGCATAGGCAGCATATTCGTCAAAGTTGTCCAACAACACGTCGGATAGAGGACGTGGTTGTGGGGGGAGCCGGATATGCAATTCGGTCTCCGGAGGTTGGGTCGGCCACAACGTGCGTTCGAGAGTGAACATACTCTCGGACAGTTGGGACCAAAGGTTCCAAATGCTGTCCAGATATTTCGGACGGCCCACCTGTTGGATGATCCATTTGCAGGCACTCACTATCTTGTCAAAATCCAACAGCCTCTGCTCCTGAAGGTTCTGAGCCGTTTGCATGTTATGGTGGATTGGTTCAAGGTATCGGAAACCAATGCTGATCGCCGCCGTCAGTGAAATGATGGCTTCAGGGGACATAGGCACGAACAAGACAGTCGTGCAGCAAACGAAAGGGTGGGAAATCGCAGATTGGGTGGGAAAAAACCCACTTGAAACCAAACGTCACTTGTGAAAAAGAATAAATACCAGATTAGGATCAGCACCGCATAAACGAACATCACAGAAATCGTTTCACGTTTGTTTCAACAAGATGGACATCACTGAGACATGTTGCATTCACACTGTGTCACATCACATAGGGTTGGAACATCTCCAACTTACAGTTTCAAAATAACAAATAAAACCAACGCACAAACGAAAAAGACAGAGTTCGATCATCCGAACGCGTGTGTGCAACATGCGCCACAAGGTATGAACATATAGTTCAAAACAGAACCCAAAACATCAAAGACAGGTACAAAGGAAGTTAAAACATTTTGGGTTTTCACTGGACATATAATATCCAGGATGTGACGCAGGTACGCGCGCGTTCCTAGGCGCAACAAATCACCTGGCTCAAAAAT